ATCATCTTATATCAGTCAGAATTGCTATTATTAAAAAGTCAAACAATAACAGTTGTTGGCAAGGATGCAGGGAAAAAGGAGCACTTATACATTGTTAAAAGAGAGCGTAACTTAGTACAATCTTTATGGAAAACAGTATGGAGATTTCTTAAAGAACTAAAAATAGAACTACCATTCAATCCAGCAAACCCACTATTAGGTATGTACCCAAAAGAAAAGAAATCATTATACCCGAAAGATACCTGCACTCATATATTTATCACAGTACAATTCATGATAGCAAAGATTTGGAATCAACCTAAGTGTCTGTCAACAGATGAATGAATTAAAAAAAATGTGGTATATATACACAATGGAATACCATTTGGTTATAAAAAAGAATGAAATCCTGTCTTTTGCAGCAACACAGGTGGAATTGGAGGCCAGTATCTTAAGTGAAACAACCCAGAAACAGAAAGTCAAATATCACATGTTCTCGCTTATAAGTGGAAGCTAAATAATTTGTACACATGGACATAGTGTGTGGAATAATAGACATTGGAGACTTAGGAGGATGGAGAGGGATGAGGCAATTACTTAATGAGTATAACACATTATGCAGGTGATGATTACACTAAAAGCCCAGACTTCACCACCACTCAATACATCCATGTTACAAAACTTCACTTGTACCACTTAAAATTATACAAATTTAAAATAAGTAAATTAATTCCAAAGGCATCAATGTTAATGTGTTCATCTACCTCTTGTTCTATTTCCTTTGGCTGAATCCCTTTTATTTTAGCAAATAACCTGAGGTTTTCTCTCACAGTGAGAAAGTCAAATTGAAAATTGAATTGTGGACAAAATCCAATGTTCTTTCTGATTTCTTCTATGTCACTTAGTTCAGAGAGTTGGGTATTATAAATAGTGACTGATCCTATAAATAGAAATATAAAGGAATTTAACATCAGGTGATAATTCTATGCAGAGTGATAATATATAATAGTATTGAGATCTTACTCAAAATCTTATCTTGATTATTGAAGAAATTTCATTTTTCTAATTGCATAATTAATATATTGAGAAATTCAGATTATTCTTAACATAAATATCTGTGTCCACAGAATGTAAAGTATATACAAAATTTCCAATAATAGTGGAATGGAGATACAAACTTTCTCATGAATTTGCGTATATTTATATACATTCTCATGAATTTATGAATGAATATTTCCTATTCTAAATTACTCAATTATGTAAAAACCTAATTTAGAGAAACATTTTTCTTTTACATTATTAGATTGAGAGACTTCAATTTACAACCTCCTTTTTCAGCCAACTTACTTTGTAAAATTATTTTCTCACCTTCTGTTGAAATAGACAATCCACTAAGAATGTTTAGCAGTGTTGATTTACCAGCTCCACTATGCCCAAGTATTGCAGTGATCTGCCCTTCATATATGTCAAGAAATATGCCTGTTTTAGAATAAAATGTGAAGATTAGACTTTGGATTATATGCAAATGAAACGGACCTTTAAAAATTTAGAAGAGTAAAATATATCTTAGTATTTCATGTCATTGGTATTTTAATATGTTCTTTACAAAATCATATATTTAATTGCATAAGTTATGTATTTATGAAGACAAAGTATCAATTTGGAGAAATTTCTACCTTCCTGCCTACCCTAAATCCTTTGAATCTGAAAAATATGTACATTTAGTATTAAGGAATAAATCGAAGGCTACCAGGGATAAAAACAAAACATAGTTCATTTGTTTTCTA